AAAGTGAACTGAAAAAAGAAAAAGAAAAACAGAAGACAACTCTAAAGGCAACAGGGGAGGTTAAGACCAGTAGAGGGCAGCTAAGTACGTCCTGTTTTTTTTTTTTTTTCTCTATTTTTAAATTGGTGTAGATCGATACACAGTCTGCACCCACCACAACAACAACAATCATGAGTATGATATGTGATTACTGCAGGGGGACCTCAGATATGGAGGATACAGGCCTGACTAATGCAATGTTTACGATGATGCAAACTGCTGTAAAGCATGAAGGCTGTTGCTGGTATTGCCCTGACTGCGTAGTCAAGGTGAATGAGGCAATTGCAAACCATAGGGGAACGAGTTCCCTAGGGACGAAAATAGATGAAGCTGGAGCCTTGCTGGTTGCCAAACTAGAACAAGTTGGGAAAGAGATCCTTGCTAAGACTGAGGAAGTAGCTGACAGAATGAAGGTGGTTGCTAAGAGGAGTTATGCTGAGGCATTAGCAGGGCCACGGGAATGTGGCGGAGAGTAATGCAGGATCAGAACAGTTTCTACAGCAGCTTGGGACTCTGAAGAAGTGTGTCGAAGAAATGATAATTAAAGGACCTATTGTTAGGGGAGAGGAGGAACAACGGGAACATTTCCAGCGCAGGAGCAATGTAATAGTTTTTGGAGTCCCTGAGAGCCAGGGAGAGGGAACTGAGAGTAAGATAACACAGGATAAGATGCAGTTTAAGAATATTTGTACAGAGGTTCTGAAGATGCCATCAACCCTTCAGGATGTGAGGAGGCTGGGACAAAAGCAAGGGGACAAGCCTCGCCCCCTCAGGATCACACTAGTGAGTGAGGAGAAGAAATCGGAGGTTATTAGGCAGGCAAAAAACTTAGCAAGGAGCGTGGCATTTCGGAGTGTATTCATTCACCCAGATCGCACGGTAATGCAGAGGGAACAGCACAGAAAGCTCCTGCAGGGCTTGAAGCAGATAAGGGAGGAGTCAAGGAGGAGCTGGGATGGGTGTACATGGGTTGAATTCAGGGAGAGGGTAGTGGAAGCAAGTGTGCCGACACAGGGCCGGGGGACAGTAGCGCACCCTTCACCCGCTCTACCCCTCGCCCGAGAGGTGGTACCAGCTTCGCCTATCAGCCGGGAGGAGGCGAGTGCCTTGTAAACAATGACATTTCTAACCACACCCTGCAAAATACAGTGTACTTAGCAAATGCTGCAGCTTCTGAGAATGGAGGGGGGGGTTACTATTAAGAGCAGAGACGTTACCGAGAACTACTTCTGGCTTGAATGTCATGTACACTAATACTGACACGTTCCTTGATAAGAGAGAGGAGTTTGAAACACTACTGAAGGTACACCAACCAGATATTGTAGGAGTTGCAGAACTGTTGTACAAGAACAGGAGAATAGACCCAGAGGAATGTGAGTTCAGTATTGCTGGATATGACTAATTTACGAACTTTCTCAAGAAACTTGCAAGAAGGGTGTGGTTATCTATGCTAGGCAAGACCTTAGAGCCAGCCAGGCGAGGATACAGGGAGAGGATGTTTTTGAAGAATCCAAGTGGTGTAAAATTAAATTAAAGGGAGGGGACTTACTTATCGTCGGGTGTATCTACAGATCCCCAAACTGTGGCCCACTATATCAAAAGAACTTAAGAGCCTTAATAGACAATGCGACGATGCTCAACCCTAGCCACCTCCTTATCATGGGGGACTTTAACTATGGCGACATTGACTGGAGACACGAACTCATCCCAAATGACTTGAATAACCTTGCTACTCTTTTTGTAGAAACTCTGAGAGATAATTTTCTGTTCCAACATGTTAGAGACCCGACACATTACAGAGGGGAGCAAACACCCAACCCACTAGACCTCATCATAACAAACGAGAAGGGTATGGTGGCCAAACTGGAACACCTTGCCCCAGTTGGCACCAGTCACCATATAGTGTTGTCATTCAGATTTAACTATTACCTAGTTCAAGATAAGGCCAGGCCAAGGTGCAAATATTACAAGGGAAATTACAACGGGATGAGGGAAGAGACGAGGGCTATCAACTGGCCTGATTCATTGAGGCACAAGAATGCAGACACTACGCTGAATATCATAACTAGTAGAGTGACCCATTTGATCGATAAATATATACCCAAGACCAAACCCAGTGCCTCTAGGAATATGAGGGGATCCCTACACATGAACCATGCGGCGGTTGACAAAGTTAAGAAGAAAACCCAGAAATTCAAGACGTGGGTTGGGTCAAACGATGAGCAGGACAGGAGGATGTATGCAAGAGCCAGAAACCAAGCAAAGATAGAGTGTAGAAAGGTTGAAAAGGAGTTCCAGAGGCTGGTTGCAAGCGAGGTCAAGTCAAGCCCAAAGGCGTTTTACCGCTATGCAAAGTCGAAATTAAAAATGCGAGTAGGAGTACCAGACCTGAGGCTTGAAGATGGTAGTTATGCAGATTCTGACCAGGATAAAGCTAAAGCATTGAACAGCTTCAGCTTCTTTTCCTCGGTGTTCACAAGAGAGGATGCGATTAACCTTCCTGCTTTTGAGGACAGACGGTTCGACACAGCACTGACCCACATTGTGTTCACAGAAGAGAGTATTAGAAATAAACTGTCAAAGCTAAAGGTCCATAAGAGTTCCAGCCCTGACATGGTGCATCCTAGAGTGCTAGAGAGTTGTGCAATGAGCTTGCCGAGCCCCTGAAGGTCCTCTTTTGTAAATGCCTGGATGAACAAAAGGTCCCCAGTAAATGGAAAGTGGCTTATGTGAGTCTTATCTTCAAGAAGGGCGATCGTCGCTCCACGAACAACTATAGACCGGTGAGCCTGACCAGCATAATATGTAAAGTACTTGAGAGTATTATCAGAGATGCCGCAATGAAACATCTACTATGAAACACCCTTGTAAAGGATTGCCAACATGGTTTTATGCCGGGGTGCTTGTAAAGGATTGCCAACACGATTTTATGCCGGGGCGCTCCTGCTTAATAGAATTGCTCAAGATATTGGATATTTTGACCCATATTCTGGAACGGGGTGGTAATATCGACAATATTTACCTAGATTTTGCCAAGGCTTTCGACAGTGTACCCCACGAAAGGCTGAAATCAAACCTGGAAGGGTAGGGAATTCTGGGAAATGTCCTAGTGTGGATAGAAGACTTTCTACATGGCCGAAAGCAGTGTGTGGTGAGTAATGGCACGAAATCATCATCCGTACCTGTCACAAGCGGGGTACCACAGGGCAGTGTATTGGGCCCGCTGTTGTTTGTTTGTTTCTTAAATGACATGCCTGACGTTGTATACTCCTCCATACAAATGTTTGCCGATGATGTCAAGTTATTTCGGGAAATCAAGAACCAAGCGGATTGTGAAGAGCTGCAGAAGGACCTCTGTGGGCTCCAAGAATGGTCAAAGAAATGGCTGCTGAGATTCAATGTCACGAAGCGTTAGAGGATGCACCTGGTGCGTACCAACGGTAAGGAGGCGTATCATATGTCCCAACTGGATGAAGAAACTGCACTATTTGAGACAATGTGAGAAGGACCTACGTGTGTATGTTGACAATGAGCTGAAGTTCTCGGGCCATTGCACGAAGAAGGTAAATCAGGCAAATAAATTATTGGGTCTTATAAGAAGGTCGTTCAGATATCTAAACGGTCCATCCCTCGTAACGATTTTGAAGAGTGAAGTGCTTCCCCATCTGGAGTACTGTCATCCCGTCTGGTCCCCGAGATATGCTAGGGACTGTCAGTTGGTTGAAAATGTTCCAAGGAGGGCCACCAGACTGGTGCCTACACTTCGGCACCTCAACTACCCTGAGGGATTGGCGCGCCTGAACTTGCCTAGCTTATACTACAGACGGGCAAGGGGTGACCTATGAGGTGTACAGTATAAGCATCTCAAGGGGCACTACTCAGTCGAGTTTCCTTATTTGGAGCTGTGGACGCTCGCCCCACACGGGGTCACAGCTCAAGATTGAAGAAGCCGCAAGTCCCGAAAACTGCGAGGGCAAACTTTTTCGGAGTGAAAGTTGTGAACTCTTGGAACAATTTACCAGAAAGTGTTGTGATGGCACTGAGTGTGAGCTCTTTCAAGACAAGACTTGACCAACACTGGAGCAGGTTCAGGTACATTCAGGAGCCGGTGCATGCCCAGTACTTGCCAACAGTGCGTAACAGAGACTGGACCGATCGCCCAAACGGCTAACGAGCCGATCATTTGGTGAAGAGGATAAAAGAAAAGGAAAAGTAATTTGAGACGTGACTGATTGCCAAAGCGCCTAATTAGCCGATCAGTGGTGAAGAGGATAAAAGAAAAAAAAGATTTAAAAGTTTAATATTTAAGAATAGAAGCCCGGGTTAAGGATCCGAGTTAAGAAACTTCAATAGAATAAAAATTCTTTGATTTATCAAGAACATCCCAAAAATGGGGGAGAAAATATATTGTTGCCAACTACCCATGCTTCATTTCGTGTTTGTCTGGCGGTTAGGGTGGTGAGTGGCAGATTACAGAGAGGAAAGCGCCAGAAGTCTTTTTTTTTTCCTTGTGCTTTATCCACTTTGGTCGTACTCCCCTCATATATGAACACACACATAATGTACACAACTGTATTGTACATTGATAAACAACAAAGTTATTTTTTGATGACATAGTTTATGAGTGAAGTGCCATTTCCTTTTATGTTTGTATAATATATGCTTTAATGTTTTCCATTTGTAAATAAATTATTTGCTGACTTTCTTACTGAGGTACACATGAATTTTGCAATACTTTAATTATGCATTTACATACCATACTTTGATTAAATTACTAATAAAATATGACATTGAAAAACTATATTGCACAATAATAATAATAATACTGTAATTATTATTATAATAATAATAATAATAATAATAATGTATGTGCATTATTATATTTTTGTGTGTATGTAGACAGAAGTTGTATCTCTAACATTGCTCTTTGTTGAATGACTAAAGTTTAAGTTCATTTGCAGCTGGAGAACTCTGGTGACCCACTAGAATTCGAAAATGCTCAACCCCTCTCATATTGGACGTGTGTGTACTTCCTCATTGTCACCATGTCCACTGTGGGTTATGGTGACGTTTACTGTCATACTGTCTTTGGAAGAACTTTTCTAGTCTTCTTTCTTCTCGTCGGTTTGGTAAGTTTATTTCTTCACTTATAGCTATGTATATTTTTATTTTGATAGGAAGCTGGGGTGTCGAGGGGGCTTTGCAATTTCGTCAGTTCTTTCTCTATATAATGCTGGTTAATTAGTATTGTACAAGCAATTGTTCATTTCTTGTATACATGTGAGCTGTTTCTGGCACAGGGGATATAAAACAAAGTACAGCATATGTGTACAAGCTATAAACTTTTTGTCTTAGATATGGTCACAATCAAACGTTTTTTTTTCTAGCTTTGTGTATTTCATCATTTATGTATATATTTTGTTTTACATCCTTTTAATTGTTCTTTAATGATTTCCTGATCCTTATTCCACATGACCTAAATAAGGGGAAGGTCTGTTAAATCATGACCTTAATTATTTGGGAATGAACATCTTACAGGGAAGGGTATAATGCCCTTTGCCCCCCCCCCCTTGTTTTCCTCACCACCCCTCCCTCAGACACCCCAGCTCACCCTTTAAACTTGAACAAAACATTTCTAATGTGGGTGGGTTGAGCCCCGCCAGTCACACAGGTGTACTCCAGAATGTTAATCTTAGGAATGCTAATCAAGCTGTTAACTAATTATCATTTTAATGCAAAACTTTTGTTTTATCTTTGAAATAGGGTCAGTTGTTGATATTGCTATACAACAAACAGTTTCATTTATTTACAGTTTACAAGTGACTTGTTGAAGTTATTAATGCTAACTAACCGTTGGAATTGGCAGTGTTGATATGGGGACTCAGGATCACGTTTGCATAAACTCTAGTAGATAAAAAATAGTTTTCTTGTCTCTTTTGCACACAAATTAATTTATTTCCGTTGCTTTTTCTCTCTCGACCTCAATTTCTTCTGTTCATTGCTATCTGCTACGGGAATCACCTGTCACGGGCAGATGTCATCAGCTAGGGATTTGAGACCTTGCTGGTGCCGCTCGCCCTGTGTCACGCACCCCACCCGCCCGGGGCTCTCACAACGTACCCTCAACACACCCTGTGTAACAGGAATGTCACTATACACCATTCATGATGCATTGCAGTGTGTGTGCAGGTTTCCTGCAGCGGGGGCCCCGCCCGGGTGCTAACCCCCAACACTACTGCACACACCCCACTGTCTGCTGCTGCCACAAGCTCTGCTGCTAGTGCTCTAGTTTTCACCAATAATAGTCTTAGTAGTTTCTGATTAAAGTGTCACCAAAATGTTTAGTATTAAATTTACAAAGCTATTTTAATGCTCATGCTGATTTCGTATAATTTTCTGAAGTATATTTGGTTCGAATAAATGTGCAAGTGAAGTTGTTTGAATGCTTTATGATGTTGGCACATGATTGTGACGCTGTGGCTATAACACCCCGTAGTATGAGCTGATCATGTACTGGTGTCACTGCATATCTCTGGCACCAACCATGTATGTAGGTACCATTCTGTTGTTTGGGTTGCTCTGCTGTGGCTACTTTCATATGTAGCCATTTTAGTTAAAAGATTTTTTATCAGGGCTGCCAACTTTTCATGAGCTGTAAGATTAAGTTTTTGCAGTACAGTATATAGAACTGTATCACAATATAGGTGTAGGTGTGAAGTGTATATTTTTTAGCACTGGAGGTGTAATATGCTGATAAGGGGTCCAGGGACATGTGCCCATAGAATATTTTTTGAGAAATTTGTTGAAATGGTGGGATTTGTGTCTCTTTGGCACACAACAGTGATAGCATCACTTGATGTATTTTGCACAATTTTAAATTTCATAAACTGTACTTCTATATCTGATGCATGACTGTTTTATACACTTTAATCCTCCACTTGGGGGAAGCTCCATGGCACTTACTGTACTTTTAGTGTCATGTTACACCTTCATCTGCTTCAAAATCACATATAAAAGTTACACGGGTGAACTTCATTCTACTTTCCATGTTGCTTTTAATATCTATATATTCATTGAACCATATTATATTTGTTTTTCATTTCATGACTCAAAGGAAACTTAAAAGTGACTGGAGTAAAAAACTTAGTCATTCAATAATATTCCAGCACCTTTTCAATCTCAAATTGAATTATTTGGTCATCGCTTTTTAAAAAAATACATTTACTGCCTTTATAATCTAAAAGAGGCAACAAAAATGTTATCTGATTTGAGATTCTGGAATGTAGACTCATTTAATATATGCTTTTATGTATTATATATATAATGAAGATACCTAAGTAATACAGATTCCTACATTTCTTTGTGATCACAGGAAAATTTTGAGCTCATTTTCAAAATGTTCACAAATTAGTTAGACTTGGCACCCTCCATGTATTTGTATAATACACCAAAGCAGCACAGCAACACCACTGGGTGTGTGACAGTGACACAGATAAGTTCTTGTATCTGTCTCTGTTTTATCTGGAACTAAAGTAACAGTCTGGGTGAGCCTGACAGAGGCCACATTATAGATATTACTCAACCAAACAACTGGAATTTAGAATCAGCTCAAAATCGATAAGAGCCTGTTGGAACTGGCTGAAAAATGAATGAGACATTTTTGTCATAGCATGAAAGCGTGAGATTGGGACCAAATGCGTGAGTCTCATGGGCAGTGCGTGAGAGTTGGCAGCCCTGTAACATGGTGTTGATTCTCCCCTTGCCATCACTGAGATTTTGTTTTAGGGGAGGCTTACCAACCTCTTCTTGAGAATGTAGACCTCATAAACACCTACGGCTTTATTCTTGCAAAACACACACCAAGCTGGGTACAGTGTTGACCTATTTTATTTTCCTGTCTTATTTTTCTTTAATAAAATCTTTACCATATTATGTAAATTTTTATATACGTACACTGTATTTGCTTCTCAAACAATTTTTTTTACAGTATTAGTATTATAATTTTATTTTTTCTTAAAATTCATTATAAAAATCTGTTTGTTTATTTCCTTGTAAATTGGTATATTTCTTGAGCAATTGCCTAGGAGCACAAGACTTTAGTTATGTTTAACAAGAGGTTTGCACTATGCACCTAGATAACAGAAATCTTTCAGTTTCATAGTAACAATCCTCTTTCTTGCACAGGTTGAATATGTATCATGTTTAGTCTGATGGAAGGGTAGCCTGTCTCCTAGGTTAGTGAAGTAATTAATATCATTACCATCATAAGGTGTTTAGGAAATTTAGGTGTTACCTATTATGCCCAACACTAAGTGATTCTTTGACACACTTACAGCTTAATTTCTGATAAAAAGAAATATCAGAAAATGCAACTAGTTACCCTTTATGTCAATCCAGTCCCTTTTCTTCTCAATCATTCATGTATTTCAGCTATAAAATGAGTATAATTTTTTGTGGGTCTCCATGAAGTTATTACTGTGCATAACTTAAGTCTTGTGCTGTTATCTTTCAGTTTGCTCATTTTCGATAGTTAAATTCTGTCCTGCTTTTCATGGTCCCAGCTTCCCTTCTACCCTTTTGTGGGTGAAACAGCCACACTGCCTTCCTTTTCTTGCCATCCCCTTACTTTCGTGTGTGTATGTGTGAGCCTAGGTGCGCAAGTAACCATGTGGTGGGTCTGTGTCACCACGTAGCAGTAGAAACCAAGGTGGCACCAGCAGACTGCACCTCAGCCATGCTGGGGCTCAGAGTACCAGCGAGGGGCACACACCCATGAGTGATGCATAGATAAATGATATAAAGTAATGGGCGATCATTGATATTTGAGGTAAATGCCATAATATTTTAGAGATATTTTATTGGTGTGGATAATCAGCCTTGTGCTTTTGTAGGAGTGTGGGCTGCCCATATGATGCACGACACTGTGACAGGTGATTCCCCTGTGGCTTGTGAGGACCGAGTAACTACCAGCTTGGACGTGCACTGTCAATACTGCCATTTCTGTCTGCACGCTGGTAGTGGCGTGGCTGCCACACAGAGTGCTTGTCTGTGCCACACTCACACTACACCTTGGCCATTCCAAAGACACAGTCGGCCTGGCCTCCTTGGGCTGCCCTATCCACCCTGTCACTCTTGTCACCACTATTATACAAGTCAATGCAAATAATGATAGTGGTTGGAGTGACATTAGTGTGTGGGTGGTCCAACCTCTGCTACAAGTGCCTGCCCAGCCACCACCCTCATTACCATAGCTGGAGGTAATGCAGGAGGTTGCCTAGGTGGCAGGGTGACCCAACCTATGGTGATAGTACCATCTTTATCACCACTAATATTTTAAAAATAGTGGTAGGGATGGCACTGCAGTGCGGCAGGCCGATCCCTTATGCAAGTGCCACTCTGGCTGTCATCCTCAACTGCAATATGGATTTTATGGATGGTAGCAAGAGTGGCAGTGTGGTTGGTCGTTCCTGTTCCACTACCACCACATTTAACACCACACCAAACTGTGTGTGCCACTTACTGAGGGATAACACACACATGCACACTAAGAAAAAAGTTTAGGCCCTGGAATATATAGGGATCAAGACATAGGTATCTCTATTCTTTAAATGTTATTTTGACATTATTCTTCTCTAAAGAAATATTTTTGTAAATATTTATATATCTGAATTTAAGATTATTTTGACTATCTAAACATGGTTGCCAGATTTCTCTCGTAAGACTGATTTTCAAACGTGGCAACATGGCCTACATATCTCTCTCTGTGTTGCCGCTTGTCTGTCAGCCAGTACGACCTTGCCTTGCTCCTTCCTTACTGTCTGAGCCAGTCTTGTGCTTGTTGCCTGGCTCTCACCCAGCCTGCCCATGCTGCCCATGTCATTACCCTGTTAACACCCCATGAGTGGCCCTATTTTCTTCATTGCTATGAGATGTACTATTGGCATTGTTGAAGCTTGATCCTGTTACTGCCTTGGTAAGAGCTGCACTGCTTGATGGCATTTACTAGGTGTGGCATAACAAGTCTGATTGTATACCTGGGGTGTGGTTGCATTGTCGACAGTGCCAGGTGTTGCATTAGCCACAACCTGGAGGGTAGCACGTGTGGGTTTGGGTGGCCCCAGGTCGGCCA